GAGGTATTCGGCCAATCACAACGCACTGGATAGCTGGCCAATCACAGCACACCTCGCTTTTCAGACTGATGAGCTTTGTAACAATAGTTTCAGAAAGGCTGGGCATAGAGGAGAAACAATAATGTACAGTATGTGGAAAATAATGTGTTTTTTGAACCTTAAACCGCATAAACACATTTCATTACACCAAATAATGTTATTTAAAACGTGTAAAATGCGCTTGCTTTTCTAAAGCGACAGCAGAGGGTAAAATTACAGAAGAATAAGTACAAAAAAACAGTACAACGGCAGGAGAAATGTAATGTATTTTTCTGATGGCAATGGACAGGTTGGTGACCACTGCACTAAAGCATGCGCTGGGTTTGGAGGGTAATAGAGATGAATGGGTGAAAGTCATGTGAGAGGAGGACATGCCTCCATCGTGTTATGATTGGTTCATGTGATAAATCCCTCCCCTTCTTGAACAGTCAGAATGAACAAAATGATGGTTTTAATGAAAAAACAAAAATTAAAAAGTAAGTAAACTTTAAAATAAAACTTAAAATGACCTACAACATTGGGTTTTTAGTCAGCAATCAGCTTGGTAAAATTAAAGGCACTTTTCCGTGTCAGTGATCGGTGTTTACGTATAAAGACAAAAAAGTCAATGCAGAGCAAAGCATTTTTATTTTATTCTGTTTTGTCAATGAAAGAGGTATGGCCTCTTAATTTAGCTCGTAAAATTAACCAGAAAGATGTATTTAACTAAAAAAACGTTTTCATAGTAGGAAAGCATTCCCCCAAATCCTCCTGAGGGTCTGAGGTCAACTGTCTGAAACACCACCCCATTATAGCAAAACAACACAGATACATTTCACAAATAATCTGCAATTTGATGAGACAGAGGACACTGCTAAACCTGACCTACATATTAAACGAGTGGATTAGAGAACAGCAGCAGGCAACAGAACACAGACTAGGGCTGGTTAACTGTGTCATAGCTCAGACACGCATTATTTAGCATGAGTATGCCTCCATATCTTTCCAGAAGTTTCCAGTCCAGGCACACGGTGGAAAGACTGGGATTGATGGGGGTGTGGCGCTGTAAACAACAGGACTGGTAAGTGGAAAATCCTGAAAGATGGTCAGGAATGTCTTTAATGCGGATCAGAGTCGGCCAGTTTCAAGCAGCGCTGTGTCACTTTGGCTCAGAGGTAGGCTAAAGTTACAAAACACTGTAGGAAGACTCCCCTGCGTTCCCCTGGTTATCAGGTCTGGGTGATGAGTAGGTCCCCAGTTAGTATCGCTTGGGGTCAGGCAGGAGGAACGCACAGGGGCTGGACAGGACTGGAGGGATGGACTGAGGGGGAAGGGAGAGAGGAGAATAACGGTGTGGGGTTTGTGCGAGACTGCGGACACAGAAACAGCCCGCATTAACGCGTTTCATCGCATCACAAGGTAGGAGTTTTGTTTCTGGAGTTTGTCGTATTTCAACGGGGCGTCAACTTTGGCAGCCGAGACGCTTTGGGCAACTTGTTGAACCGCTTTTGTGTATCAGCGGCGACTTTACAGAAACATTTCATTTCTTCGAATCTCGGGAAAAGTGCGTGGAATTCGTGTTTTGTTCAAGTTTGCACCCCTGGGTTTGCGTGCTGCTGCTGTGTAAAGACCGCTATCGGCAGCAGAGATGTTACCCAAACAGACCCATGTTTTGTTCGAGGGTGTTCTCGTCTGTGTTTGGAAGCTACTGTAGTATACTTGATTGGTCGTACACTACACTTCCAGATTCAACAGTTTTGTTTTTCCTGAACAATGTGGATACAGTTGCTCCCTTATCTGCAGTAACTTTTATATGATTTGTAAATGATTTTAAAATACAGATTATGTCCAAAAATGTTTGTTGTAGAATGTAGAAGTGTCTTAAAAAGTATGGCTGATTTGAAAGAATAACCACCTACTCTGGTTACATGCTAGAACCAAAGTCATTTTTGCAACTTTTTTTTAGTTTTGGGATATACACACACGTGATATAATTTGTCACACACATATGCTAAAATATCATGCATTACATTTACTCCAAGTTCATTTGAAAACAGTTAATGTGCATAATCCACTGACAGAGCTGTTAAACTTTTTTTTTTAACAGATTCAGGGTAGAAAAATTATTAATTAATAATTTGTTCAGTGCAGTTATACATTGCATGGTTTAAAGCTGCTTGGAAACTAATGTGGAATGAGACACTGTGACAACTGAAAAATCAGAACATCTTTGAGTCCAGGTAAAAGACATGATTTATTCTGCTGAAGGGTTTTTCATTTAGCTCTCAAGCGGCATCAGGTTGATTCGTTTCAACTTTAGATCCGAGAGGTTCCCAGACCCTAAGATTCACACATTAATTGTTTTGGTAGCTCTTCAAAATATGTTTTTTCTCTCTCTCTCTCAATTTATTCTCTCTGTCTCAGGCAGTATTAAAGGGACACACACTCCTGGAGGTTTCAGCCCTGGGGATTCAGGGACGTAAAGAATGATTTGCTGATCCAGTTGCTGTTGCCAGAGGCTTCCAACCACTTCCACTCCAGGACTGTCCTTCATAGACCTGCTCAGTTTGTGAATCAGAGTCCCTCACACACACATACACAGTCGACCCTACTCAAACATACCATTCATATACACGCTGTCATGGCCAACATATATCCGTACGGCTGCTTCACTCATGCTGTGGTCAGAGGTATCCCAGAATCCTTTGGGAAGTTGGCGGAGGGTGGCGAAGGGTTTCAGACGGACCTCGCCAAGGCCCAGCGTCAGATGGGGGTGCTGACAGGCGCGCTGAGGCAGAAGGTGGGGCTGCAGCTGATAGAGATCCCAGCCGCCTCAGAGCTGCCCGAGAGCTGGCGGATCGAAGACGTGGCTGTGATCCAGGGCGACACGGCGCTCATCACGCGACCCCTCAAGCAGCAGAGGCACGCTGAGGTAAGGGCCGCTCTCGGGGCTGCGGGACACTCGGGCGTGACTGGGGCTCAGCTCTGTGTTTTCTCCAGGCGGAGGCCGTGAGGCGCGTCCTGAGCGAGCTGAAGCTGACGGTGCTGGAGATGGGCGACGAGGAGGGCAGGTCTGCTGGAGCCACTCTGGAAGGAAGTGATGTCCTCTTCACTGGAAAAGAGTTCTTTGTGGGCATTTCGAAACACACCAATCACCGTGGGGCAGAAGTTTTGGCCGACACCTTCAAGGTGAGCGCTGGGATTCGATTGAATTGGGTCTCTTAGCTTTGGCTGATTAGAATGCTGTACATGCAGGGGTTAAATTGGGCCGGGGCCGGATTCAGTTAGGGCCCTGTAATTTCCGTGATGCGGGAAACGCTGACAGAATCTCGGAATTTACGGTTTAATCCGGAATGCCACGGAATTTGTCAGATTTTGAATGAATAAATCAATACTCTCAAATCAAATGGCGATATGAACTAATGTCTGTGAATATTGAACCACAAAATACTATTTAAATATGAATCCTGCATGTTCTGCGCGTCTCTGTGTGAATGAATAATGCGGATGCACTATTATTGTAAAAATAAATATAGTTTTGATTGTTAAAATTTGATTAAACCATTCAAATATAATGTAGAACAATTACAATGGAAAGCGCAGAGTTTGTTAACAAAATAGAATAGGTAAAACTGAATTTCATTAAACAAAAGTATTTAAAAAGAGCCCTACAAAAATTTATTTTTGTTAAACTTTTAATAAAGTGCTGTTAACTTGTATACGTTTCATGATTTCAGTCAATTAGACATGGTTTTTGGTTAATGAAATTTAATTTAACCATTAAAACTATAAATGGAATTTGGGAAAAATGTAAACATTTCATAGGGCCCAAATCAGTGAATAGACTTTTTTTTTTTTTTTTACACCCTTCTTGTTCTTACTATTTAAAGCTTTTTCAACTCTTATTGTATTTACTTTTACATTATATTTTAGTTTGTCAATTGACTTAAGATTTTGTAGGCTTTGCATACACGTGTGTAGCATCCCCAAACATAACAAATCCCAGTTTAACCTAACTGTGCACATTATACATTGTAGATAACAATTATTTCACATTTACATTTAATCATTTAGCAGACACTTATCGCATCAATTATTATTTTGCAATAATGAGTTTCATAATTTCTTAAATGCTTTGAATTGAATTCTTGCTGTTTTGTCAGATGATCACAAGGTGCTTCTCTTTTTGGTAACACTTTTTATTTCAGTAGTCCACTAACCGTAAGAATGTCAGCTGGCAGTCATTAGTATCTGCCAACACTTTATTTGGATGGTCTCCGCTTTGCAAGCACGTCAACTTATTCTACTATTCTACTCTAACCCTAATCATCAACTGATACTCTAATGAGAGTTAGTTGACATGTAGTTGCAAAGTTACTTCTAGTTAGTAGAATGTGTAAAGTGGATTATTGACAAAGTATAACGCCATTACAGTGCTTGGATGCTGTGGCTTGTGAGTGGTTAATACTGACTGAAGTGTATAGAGCCTGTGATATTCTGCTCTGTGGATATGGCTTGGCTCTCCTTTTTAGAGCACGTAGGTAATCACATGTCTGATTGCTTAGAAAGGTAACAACATCGCTCTCCTCAGCAAGCTGCAGAACTGAAGGTATCATTCACGTCCATAGCATGGGATGCTAACATTTAATACTTGGGGGTTTGCCTTAAGAAGCACTACTCATAACCGCAGATTACCAGCACAAGGTAGATAACAGTGGTGTGGTGCTGCGTGGCTGTGTGTGTTCAGGACTTTGCGGTGTCCACTGTGCCAGTGTGTGGAGGCTCTCGTCTGAAGAACATCTGCTCCATGGGCGGCCCCGACACCATCATCAGCAGCAGCAGCAGCGACGGGGCCAAGAAGACACTCCGAGTGAGTGTGTGTGCAAGTCAGATACCTGACATAATTACTTCGTAGCGTACAGCTTTTCTGAGGAGTGCTTTTGGTTTCAGGTGATGGAGCAGCTGACTGACCATCACTACGAGATCTTGTCTGTGCCCGAGGACGTCGCTGCTAACTGCATTTACATCAGAGGTCCTGCTAAAGTGGACTTCCTCCTGCACCCCACAGCCGAGGAGTGTCCCAACAGTGTTCCTGTGAGTAACAGAGCGTGCACAGTAAGACAGACCATAATCAGCAACACAAGAGTGACGACTGGTTTGATTTTGTAATCAATGGAAAACCATTCTTCTACGTATTTGGATTTTAGTGTAACTTTGCACAATATTGAGTTGTGCTTCCTTCACATTTTTTGTTACCAAGAGTTTACACAAGTTACACAAGTTTTATTTAACAAGGACAAATTAAAATGATCAAAAGTGACACTAAAGGCATGCATGATGTTACAGAAGATTTCATTTCAAATAAATGCTGTTCTTTATACTTTATACTCCACTTTAGACATTCTACTCACCATCAGTAAGTGTGCAACTAGCAGTCATTACAGTGCGTGCACAATTATTATGCAAGTTGATATTCTCTTTTTTTTCTGACCCAATGAGCTGTCATGCCTGAGGTTAATCTCTTTTTGGCTCATTTTATCTGTAAAAGAAAATCTGCTTAATAATTATTCACACCTGAATATAAGGTGTTTTTCACTTCCAGCCTTCAATTCTATATTACTTCTAATACATAGAAGTTATTAAGATTGATGTTGATTTGGAATTGGTCAAATGTGCTTGGAAAATATATGATCAGAATATCGACTTGCCTAATAATTATGCATGCACTGTAGTGGACTGTCAGCTAACACTTTATTATGATGGACATTCAACTGACTGTAAGTAACTTTGCAAGTACATCAACTTATTCTGCTAAGCCTAACCCTAACCTAATAGTTTACTGATACTCGAATGAGAGTTAACTGAAGTGTAGTTGAAAAGCTACTTGTAGTTAGCGGGATGTCTACTGACTTGTCTTTCCTGTCAAACTACTTGCTAGACACTAACACATATTTGAGTAAATGCAAATCTTATTGCTCTTTGTCCCATTGGCTTCAGCAGACAGTTGTGTTTTTAGCAGTAATAGCAGGTTGTATGATAGTACAGCAGGAGCTGTTAGTTATATTCGCTGCTTCTCCGTTTCAGGCTTTTCAGCGCTTGACGGACTACACCCTGCTGCCCACCGCCTGCAGCGAAGCCTCCAGACTCGGCGCGGCGCTGTCCTCCCTTTGCCTGCTTATCAACAAGAAACCCAACTATTGAGACATTCACCGCATAATCATATTCACTTTCTTTACATCTTCCCTTTTCTTGTGCGTTCACTTCAGCCTGAGGTTTTAGGGGCTGCAGCTGTCCATGTTTCTCTTGTGCTTTCATTTCTTAGCTCTCTCATATGCAGGTTTGTTTAGATTTGGATAATGGACACACATTATGAGTGTATTATAATAAATGGCCTTGAAATAAACACACAGTGAGCCTGAGAGGTTAAAGTGATGGCTCACCCCAAAAATAGATTCTGTTGTTGTTTACGCCTGTTCCAGTTCAGGGGTTTTTAATTCTGGACCGCAAGCTCCAACCGTGAGCAAACATATGGTCTTTTTTTTTTTAGCGGTCCTGAACACTGAGGTCAGCTTGTTCATGTGCGTTTGATCAGGATTGTGAACCCCGGCTCAAACGTCTTATAAGACGTGGAGTTTCATGGCTTCTGTAGGTCTATTCTGCTATTAAAGGTAGTCATGTACAATAATTTAATTGCTTTTCAGCCCAATTAAGATGTGCGTTAGTGGACAAATCAGATCATAGATTGCTGTACTGTGGCAGAGTTAAAATCAAGCACAGGACCAGTTTCTTATCTAACCCTAACCAAAAGCTGCATATTAACCTGAACACAACACACTAACTTGTGGGAATGGGAAGTACGTTGAGGCTGTGATATATGAGGCCACAGATTGTTTAGTCAAGGTAGCAGCATCCTTGCTGTATGTTATGGCGTCAGTGTAATGTGCTTTTCAATTTCATAATGCAAAAAGTACTTTTTTTGGTAGGTTGTTTCCCCTCAATTGTATTGACAGTATTACAAAAACAAAATCTGTTTGCTATCGTGACCAGTTTACATGAACATGATTCATTTAAAACAAGAAAACATGAATGCCTTCATCTCCAAAAAGGCTCAGTTCTAAGATATTTTTGATATGTATTAGTCCAATAAAAATTATTTCAGTTGCTTGTATAACATGCACGAAGGGTTAGGGTCCATGACAAATTTCATTCATTTCCTCCAGGAGACAAAGGTCTACAGCACCTGTTCGGACATAAAAAAAAAAAGCAAAGCCTTGCATTGTTCATAAATATTTCTGACAGGGCATCGTCTCGCAAGCTCCCTGGTTCGAGTCTTGGGCGAGAAGGCCTTTCTGCGTGGAGCTGCTCCGCTTTCCCCAAAAGACGTGCATTATAAGTGAATTGCCCACAGGTGTGAGTGTGTGTGTGTGGCCGGTGATGGATGGGTTATCTGTCTGTCTGTCCAGGGTGTTTCCTCACCTGCTGTGACCTTACAAAAGATAAGCATTTTGGACAATGCATGGATAATTCTGAAAATATGAACCAACTTCAGTTTCTGATTAATGAGTGGATGTTATGTTATAGAATATAGTTATAGTTTTTTGTAAGAATAAAAGAGCTCCAAGGCTTTAAAATAAAAAGGTAATGCAGTGGTACACTGGCAGAGACCATCTTTTTTTGAACAGATGCTGGAGGAAAAAAAAGCTTTTGTGAGGAAACGAAACAAATGCTTTTGACAGCCTGTCAACAAATTATTGCCATTAAATATTTATTTTAGTGCGAGCTGTATTTGAGTTTTTTCAAAAGACATTTTGGAAAAACAAATTTTACAAATTTTTTTATTAGGAAAATACCAGATACATAAATGGGCTCCATCTATACCACATTTACTTGCATTTTATAAATGTGACTGAAATTTCACAAACCTTTTGGAACAAACTAAAAACAAAACTACCCTGTAAACATGCAATGCTATGGCAGCACTTACGTGTATGATGTTTTTAAACATTGCTGTTGTTGCATTGAATAATTAAATATATATACACATACATACACACACACGATGATTGGCCTGTTATGCTGTTGACGCCAGTATATTACAAAAGTGAGTACAGCTTCTTAACAGACCACAACTGCACTGCACACAATAGCTGTGTATATATTCCATTACATATTTCTGTTATGAAATGTCATGTATTCACAAGTTTACAAAGCAACAGATTTTTAACAGTTGGGCTTCACACTTTCCAGCTCATCTTTGGTGGTAGTGTGATGATCCCTAAGACAATAAAGAACAGCTGTTAGACATCAGCTTGTGTTTGTCTTTGAGATGACACTTGTTTCTGAGCTGGTGATTGGCTGGGCAACAGAAAGCAGCAGCCAATGAATAAGCAGAGAGTTACTCTGCGAGAACTATAGCACACCAGGACCACGAGTAGCATCAGGATGTGACTCTAGTCTCGCTTTACTTGATCGAGTAGATATGATCGTAAACATACAAATTACAATCAGTCAGTAAGAAGAAAACTCACACTGACAGCACTGTTGAGCCGGCTGACGCTCCTCCTGACCGATACGCCATTAATGACCCATTCACCAGCATCTGCAGGGGCTTTGAGAGACCACCACACATTACACTTCAACCACTGCTGAGCAAGTCTATCAACAGTCTGATAAAGAGCTTGTTTCTGAGCTGGTGATTGGCTGGGCAATGAAAAGCAGCAGCCAATGAATAAGCAGAGAGTTACTCTGCGAGAACTATAGCACACCAGGACCACGAGCAGCATCAGGATGTGACTCTAGTCTCGCTTTACTTGATCGAGTAGATATGATCGAAAACATACAAATTACAATCAGTCGCAGACAAGCAATTCATTTTCTTAACACTACATTAAACGTTATAGTCTAGTCTAGGGCTGTCACTAATGATTATTTTGGTAAGAGAGTAATCAATGGATTGTTTTGACGATTAATCGGATAATTAGAATTAATTTGAGGTAATAAAAATAGTCCCAAGTGAACAATAGCCTTTAAAATGACTTAAAATACATATATAATAGCAATGAGGCAATAACAATTATCTCAAATAAAATATCAAAATCAAGTAATCATGGTTTTAATGAACAAAACTTTTAAAATACATAATGTATTAGAAACAATAGAGCCAATGCCTATCAAATGCCTGCAGAGGGCGCTAACGGTCTGACAATAGTTTTTACACTTTACTGCGCAATCTAAACTTTTATTTTGAAATCACTATGAACAGTTAGCATACTGGGAAAGATACTGATGTGTTCTCCTGTGTTTGTGCAGGTTTATAAATGATTAACCTAACAAATCTGATGAAATGGTGCACGTTGTGTACCCAGATGATCGTTATAATAAACCCAAACTCAGTTTGTGCGGCGCAGCATTTACTGTGAACGAAGCCGCTCTGACTCACACGCACATAACCTACACACTTGTAAATAAAGCGCACATATTAAACCTGCATCGCATTTACTTAATTGAAACAGTGTTTGTGAATTCACAATAGTATTATTCTTTATTATGATTTTCAATGGGTTTAATATATCATGCGGCCTTGGAAAACAGTCTAATAATGCGTTTCATGGACTCTCGTCCGTGGATTGAGCCATTTCCGGTATTTTGCCGGTTACTCACGGGCAAAATGAAATAGGACTTTTTAAAATCAAGTACTCGAATCGAGGAATCATGACAGCCCTAGTCTAGACGTCTTGGTCAGAAGTTATTCAGTAAGAAGAAAACTCACGCTGACAGCACTGTTGAGCCGGCTGACGCTCCTCCTGACCGATACGCCATTAATGACCCATTCACCAGCATCTGCAGGGGCTTTGAGAGACCACTACACATTACACTTCAACCACTGCTGAGCAAGTCTATCAACAACAGTCTGATAAAGAGCTTGTTTCTGAGCTGGTGATTGGCTGGGCAATGAAAAGCAGCAGCCAATGAATAAGCAGAGAGTTACTCTGCGAGAACTATAGCACACCAGGACCACGAGCAGCATCAGGATGTGACTCTAGCCTCGCTCTTCACACGTTACTTTCATAAAAGCAGGAATAATTTAGATCTGACAAATGAATGGCAGCAGCAGCACCTTCAGCGTGTGAACTCTCCTGCGGTCATCAGCTGCTGTTATCAGGGTCACGCTTCAGAGTTTGTCAGGAGCAGCAGAATGGAGAAAGCAGCTGGCACACTTCTCTTTCAGGATTACACCAGTCGAAGAAGAAATAACTACTTGATCCAATGAAGAAATGAGTCACTACAAACAAAGTTCAGGAGAATACAGAGAAACTCAACGGTCCTAACCAGGTGCGACAAATGTTGATGACAAAAAAACTAAAATCACATCTCTTCTAGTAATCTGAAGACTTTAATCAACTGAAGCCACAACAAGCAGCAAGAAAGGTTAGGTATCATTTGAATTTGATCAATTCTGATTCTGCTTACTAATTCAGATTCTTATCAATTCCCAGTTTCGATTCCAGTGTGATCAAAAAATGAAATCAAACATTTAGGTATCAAACCTTAGTTGCAGCTGAATACCATGAACAAAAATCAGCAGGCTACATAAAAACTGGACTCATTTAAGAGCTGTTTGTGTGCAAAATAGAGCTGCACGATTCTGGATAAATTGAGTTTCTTTTTTTTTTTTTTAAATGAGTTTGGGTTTCTCGTGACTCTGAAGAAAAAAAAATATTAGACAACTAAACATGTAATTTATGAATGAATGATTTAGTGACTCAATCTAGATGCACTTGTTTCATTACTGGGTGAATCACAGCATTTTTGAACGACTCTTGAATGATTCAAAGTCAAATACATTTTAACAGCCGCTTTTCACCACTTACCAGCGTAACAACAATCGATAAATCTTCATTTGAAGCGTCAAATTACTTTTCAAAATGTGAGTTACTCTATTTTGATTGCTACCATCAGGGGCGCTGCTAGCAATTTTGGGCCCTATGGAAGAATGAGGTTGGGCCCCCTACCGCACCAAACATACACTATATTGTCCAAAATATTGGGAAAACTCAAAACTCATCACCAAACACAGATGACTAGTACATATGCGTACAATCATTTGACACTTCCAAAACTGTGGCAACAAAGATGGAAATACAATTTTTAAATACATGAATTATGTTTCCATCTTTGCTGCCACAGTTTTGGAAGTGCCTTTTTGTGTTCTAAAGAAGGGGGTGTCCCAATACTTTTGTCCATATGTACAAGTCATTGGTGTCTGGTGATGAGTTTTTGGCTCAAGGTCTGCATTTAAAGTCACACCAGAGGTGTTCAGCTGGGATTAGGACGTGGCTTTCTGCAGACCAGTCGAGTTCTTCCACAATGACTGAATCTATCTTTTTTTTTAACCTTGCCTTATACACAGAGTCATTGTTGTGTTAGAATAGAAAATGAAGCACACAATTCCCTAGAATAGCATTATATGTTTTTTTTTTTTTTTTTACTAAAAATTAGAAATTATTGAAGTAGTCAAACCTGTTCATTAGAAGGGGGTGTCCCAATACTTTTGGCAATATAGTGTGCAAGCCAGCCTAGCTATTCAAAATCTTTGTCTGCAATTTAATAATATTGACCTATTACTTTTGCTATTGCTTTTGACCATTAGGTATCAGTTTTACGGACATAGACTTTCTGTACCACACTATTCTGCTGATATGGAATGAGTTTGACTACTTAATCAGTTATATTAATAGAAATGCTTCACTGGGGCAAACACAAAAATCC